CTTTATGGTCACAAATTACACACCAAAAATCTTGATCTTCTCAATTATGCTAGCATAAATGGATTGCATATTTTATCACTACCACCACATACATCCCATAAGCTCCAACCACTTGATCGAACTTTGCTCAAATCTTTGAAAAGTGCTTATAACTTAGTATGCACGACATGGATGAGAAAGCACCCAGGAAGAAGAATTACAGTTGATAAACTTTCAGGACTATTTTGTCAAGCTTATGTGAAAGCAGCTACAGTGGAAAATGCAATTTCTGGATTTCGATTAACAGGCAACAATCCTTTTAATCGAGAAATCCTTTCTGAGTCAGATTATTTTGAAAATCCATGTTTAAAAGATAGTAATACAAACATAATATTTAATGAAATAGCAGATAGAAATCCTTTACAATTATCTACAACTAATTCTTTAATTGGGCTGAACCAAAATTCGAATGTTCAAACATCCATTGCTAGTTTTTAAGTTAATGAAATAAATGCCTGGTTGTCAATTTCAAACTCTCAACAGCTTTCTTTTACTGATATATTATCAATTCCAGCTATTGAAGTGAAGACAACAAAAAGAAATGGAGAAAAGTCCGAAATTTTGACAAGCACATCGTACAAAAAAACTTTGCAGGAGGGGTTAGAAAACAAAAAAAAAGTTAAATATAACAAAAAAAGACTATTAGAAAAAAAGATTAAACTAAAAAAAGATGATAAAATTAAATATGGAGAAAACCAAAAAATATCAGAGTCTAGCCAGAAATGTGTCCGATGCTTTAGGTGTAAATTATGGTACCATGAAGTTTATTTTGTTAAGTTAGAGACAGAGTTTTTGTGTAAACTGTGTGTGTGCCATGATTATATTTAAACATTCTATGATCAATTAATTTATGTCTTATAGTTGAGTATAACTTGTGCAACAATTTAATCGGGTGGTGCTTAAGTTTGAACTATGTTTAATATCTATGTTTAATATTTAATCTCTATCTTTAATCTATGTTTTCTAAGGCTTACTTAACTGTGGTTAGATTAGCCAAGCAGGTTAATTTTTTAAGCTAAAGCTACTATATTTTTTATGAATTATATTTTACATCTTTTATGATAAAAAATAATTGGAAAAGTCCCTTATTTTTTCTCTTAACTTGCATAACATATGCTGTCTCGTTTTGCCCCGTAAGGTGGGGAACATGAGACACGCTGTTGCAATTTATAAAATCCTCAGTGTATCCAATTAAAAATGAATTTAAAAATTTACTCATAAGTTTTAAAAAGAGTTACCCTGAGTAAGATTTACTGTACACTTGTTTAGTTTTTTGCTTAATTCCAGGTCTATTTTTAATCCTTAAGTGTCTCGTATTGCCCCGAATTATAATTCGGGGCAATACGGGGCAATTTTTTAGCCAAGGATAATATTACCTTACGGCTAAAAAAAAACTGTAGGCGAGTTTTAATTTGATAAGTTTTCAGTAATATGGCGCCTTTTAAAAAAACGAAAATGGCTTTTAATTTAATATGCGATACGCTTTAATTTTATGTATATTAAATTTGCTTTCTTTTTAGAGCAAAATAATTAAATTTGAAGAACATGGTTTTTAAGTGTTGTGTCACTGGGTGCAGAGGTAGCTACGATGTTACAAAGTCTGTAAAAGTTTCTCGCCTTCCAAATAAAAAAAATGTGGATAAACGAAAAAGATGGATAAGTGCTATACCTCGAGATAATATTCCAGATAGCCCAAATACTTTTATTTGTAAAGATCATTGGCCTAAAGACTATGAAAAAGTTTTAGTTTACGGTAAGTTAAGACCAAAACATCCACCATCTGTATTTTCTTGTGTAAATCCAAGTCAAATTCCGACTCCACTTGCACCACCAAGACCAACTACTAAATCATTGCCATCTTTAAGTGCTTTGCCTGATAAAATGGAGGCTTTTGTGAAAACTGATAATATTTCTTCTTTCGAAGATTTGTGTAATAAAATAATGTCTAAAACTATATCTTTTTCCTACTCAATAATACCAAGTTTCAATGAAAACTGTTTACATCTTCAATCTGCTGATATATTGGACAACTTGGGTTTTCCAAAGTTTATTTAAAAAAAAAAAAATGATTTATCCTTTGATAGCTATCACTGTGGTGTTAAGTGCACCATAAAACCTTTTTCTTACAATCATATGAGTATTATTGACTGTATTAGCCGTCTCCATATCGCAATACACTATCTGAATTCTTTACCAATCGATCATAAGAAAAAAATTATTATTGAACAGATGTTAAGTATGAACTCATTAATGTTTATTGGAGAAAAAGTATTCTCCTGATGTGGTTGCTAGGGCATTTGAGTACTTTTCATTTCAAGAACTCTTTACTCTCGATTACGTAATGACTACGAACTACCAAGTATATCTTTGATGACAAGGTTGACATCTAAAGTTAGAAATGTTGGAGATAATGATTTTTAAAGTTGTATTTTGAAAAATGTACTATATCTCAAAGACAAGTTATTCTACTAATTGATGAAATTTATGTTAAACCACAGTTAACATATCAAGGAGGTAACATTTTTGGAAAATCTGTAAATTCCCCAAATGAGTTAGCAAAAACAGTTTTGGGTTTAATGATTTGTTCTTTACTTGGCGGAAAACAGTTTTTGTATAAAGCATTACCAGTAACAGGTTTAGATGCTAATTTTCAATACGATCAAACAGTGCAAACAATTGAAGTGATAAAAAAATGTGGTGGTTCTGTTGTTGTTATTCTTTGCGACAATAACAAAATAAATAAAAAGTTTTTTGGAATGTTCAATCTCTGTAACACTAATGATAACATTCTCCTTCTGTATGACTTTGTTCATTTAATAAAATCTATTTGCAACAATTGGCTCACAGAAAAATCCCAAGAACTATGTTTTACTTACAAAGGTATTTCAAGAACTGCAAAATGGTCAGATCTTAAAAAACTTTTTCTATTTGAAAAAGGTGCTATTGTGAATCTGTCTAAACTTAATGAAACAGCAGTTTTTCCTAAACCAATTGAACGTCAAAATGTGTCAACTTGTTTAAGAGTATTTTGTGATGAGACTGTAGCTGCTATAAAAACTCATCCATCCATAAATAATGTCGAAGACACCACAGTGTTTTTATCTATTTTTATCAAATTTTTTTAAATTGTTAATGTAAAGAACTTTATGAAGATATTTGTACTAGAGATAAATATCGTGCTGTTTTTTTCATTAAACGATTGAACTTTCTTTTAAATTTGGATGATATGGTCGAAAAAATGGCTCCTGAAAAAAAGGTCATAGACTAAAAAATTTAACCAAAGATACTTCTCATGCTTTTTCCCATACATGTCGTGGGATGGTTGAACTAGTAAAACATTTACTAACTACAACTCATAAGTATGTTTGCCTTGGAAATTTCACTAGTGACCCAATTGAGAAAGCATTTGGAACCTTTTTTATAAATGTTCAGCAAATATTACAAAAAGTCGACATAAAAATAACAAAACTTTTTCTAAATTTTGATATCACTGCTAATGATTTAGAAGTATCATCAAGCCATTTGTGTGACAAATGTAATTATGTATTGCAAGATAATATTTTGTTGAATGTATTTCATAATCTTCCAGTTATTGAAAGCAATTTGTCTAAAAAAATTAAAATGTCTTTGGTTTATATTGCTAAAAATGTCAATAGGGAAGATTCTCCGGTTGAAGATACATTATTTTGTTTTGAGCAGTTTGGAGATTATGTCAGAGAGATTAATTGTGGTGGTTTAAGTGTGCCTGGAGATAACATTTGCCATTGGATATTTTATTCATACATTTTATTTCATCATCTTTACACTTTTGTCTGTTGTGTTAGCTTATCTAACTGTTTTTTAATGGTATCTGACTTTTATGGATTTACCAATGTTTCAAAAAAACATTGTAGAATCCTTGCCAATATATTTTTTAACAACTATTGCCATCTCTATACCCCACGATCTTAAAAGGAACCCAAAATGAAAATTTTGAAGTTATCTTAATTGTAAAATATATATATATATATATATATATATATATATATATATATATATATATATATATATATATATATATATATATATATATATATATATATATATAATATATATATATATATATATATATATATATATATATATATATATATATATTATAATAAAACATTATATATATATATATATATATAAAGTAGGTGTCACGTGGGGGGGGGGGGGTTACCATTACAACTTTTGCCGACTAAAAAAAAAAAAAAAGGTCCTCGTTTTCCAAAATTTGCTGACTGTCATGACGACATTTACCGACTGTCTAACCTATATCGAAAGGGTCGACATTTGCCGACTGACTAGTCTAAACCGGTCCAATTTGCCGACTAAGGGTCCAGTTTGCCGATTAAAAATCATTGATGAGGGTGGGGGGGGGTGTCACGACCCCCTAACGCGCCGGCCTTGTATATAAATATATATATAAAACATAAAAAAAATACAAAATACACACACAAATCACAATACAACTTGCAAAAACAAAACAAAATTCTACCATAATAATATTTAAAACATTTGCGCATAAGAATCACTATGTTCAAGTGTATCTTGCGTAATACCCCAAGGTTCTCGATGATAAGACTTAATGAGTTCCTTATAACAATATAATCTATCTTAACAAGTCTTTCATAATTAATACAACTTCTAAATGCTTCCTAAATTAAAAACAATTTTTTTTTTTTTTTTTCTTCTTCTTTTTTAACTGAGTGTTATTTTTTCTGTTTTTTTGTTATATATATTTTAGCAGTATTTGGTTAAATATAATCTTTTGTAACGGGAGTATATTTTGCTTATATTATGGTGTGAAAATAACTGTAACTAATATGTAGTTGTGAAAATATATATAAAATAAAATTAAAAGAATAAAATAAATTTGCCTTAAATACCGTTCAAATCGCGATTTAAAAAGCAAATGTTTAACTTACGATAACACAACAGTGCGCAACGATTTTTGAAAAATGTCACGTCTTCGTCGTATTAATTACACTAGAAAAAAAAAATTTACTGTCTAAAATAAAATTATCTCACTAAAATGCCAAATGACTTTAAAAATAAAAAATTATCTGAAACTGCAAAAGTTCTCAATGCCAAACGAAAGGGACTTAATTCATCAAGCCAAAACCATCAAAAGAAGAACTTTAATAAAAAAATAGCTTTGCGGAAGAAAAAAGCTGAAGTTGATTCAAAAGTAAGAAAACATTATTTTTGAAGTATTTCACAAATAAAACCATTACATTTTGTAGTACATTTTAACTTGTAATTTCATTCATTATAGTAAGCAAATGCTATGATCCTCAGGTAGATGGTATAAACCTTTTTACAGCATGATTACCAAAATTATATAATTTTTAAAATAAGGCTACTTTTACAAATTTAACATCGTTATTAATAATTTTTTACTAATAATTTTTTTAATAACTTGTGTATAATTTATAAGTTTCTTAATTTATTTCTCGCAGTTATGCAAACCGAAAATTATTGTAAATAATTTGCAATTTTAATATGTTTAAGGCGGTATGATAATTTGTTTTCCTCCTAAGTAAATAATAATATTTATTCGTTGATGTTGATGGATGTTTCAAAATGTTATTCGTTTGTAACTAGTTCCAAGCGCTTTTTGTAGTTTTATTTACAAAACTATAACTTAGTAATTTTTGTTTGTCAAAAGTTTCGTAAAAAAATTTAACAGGAGTATTATTTTACTGGGACGAGAGATTTTCTTTTAAATTATCTATTAATATATAAATTTTTTTTTTTTTGGATTTTTATTATAATTGTTTTTATTCTTTGGTACTTGTTAAACAAAGTGTGATTTTTTTTTCAACGTTTGTCTATAATATTTACAATGTTTTTCAATAATATTTAGAATGATTCTTTATAATAATATTTATGATAACCCTATATAAGGATTCTTTACATTATACAAAATAAAACTTAACGTATTTTTTTTTTTTTTTTTTTTTTTTTCGTAACGCTATATTTTTTTAAGTAAATACAAACAAGTTTAAAAAACATTTATTTATTATCATTAGAAACAAAAATTGGTAATAGGATTAATTTTCATTGTTTTTGTTTTGTTTTTGCTTTTATTTATTTTTTTCCTTTTCCAGGTATACCATATAAAATATATATTTTTATCGCTATAAAAAGAAAAAATATATATATAATTATTACGTATCAGCTTGATAAAAATACATTGATATAATATTGATACATTAATATAGTATTGATGCAAACTTTAATATAAACTCTGGTATAATAACTATTATATATATATATATTTATTTTTTCTACACTTTAATACTTAAAAAAAGGAAATAAAAGGAGATTCAGCATTTTTGGGTATAAAACTTCAAAAAAAATCTTTTCGCAGATTCCCTTAATAGCGATATTTGGCGTAATATAAAAAGTTAATTAAGTAAACTTAGAAATATATATATATATATTTTTTATTTAATTTTTATAATTTTTTTTTTTTAATTTGTTACAATCATTTTTACTAACTAAGAATATGCAGCTTTGCTTGCCGTTTAAACAACGATATTCCATTTAAGTCTTTTAATTTTTGGTTTTTCAAGTTTTTCCATATTTTAGGATCCTGCGACATAATTGAATATTCAGAACCTCCCCAGTAAGCACAAGACGCATTTTAGACACTAATAGACGTCTAAAACTAGTCTAGGTAAAGACGCACTTTTATTGACGTTTTAAAGACATCTTCTAGACGTTTTTTATAAAGGCGTTTTTAAAATGACGTTTAAAAGGCGTCTATTTAAGCGTTAAAAAAACGTCTAGAAGATATCTTTTTTTAAGACATCTTCTAGACGTCTTTAATAAATGCAATTTTAACATGACGTTTAAAATGCGTCTTTTTAAAGTTTAAAAATACGTTTAAAAGACGCGTAATAAATAGTCTAAAATACGCATTAAAAGACGTCTAGATCAAAGCTAAAAGACGTCTTTTCTGAGACCTGTTTATAAATATGTTTATGACTTCTTTTTGACGGCTTTGTCATTACGCGTTAAGTAGATGTCGTATATTCAAAGTAAAAACATAGTTTTTATTATTTTCAATAATTTGTTCAAGTTTTAAGTGTAATTTACACTTAAAACTTAAAACTAAAAAAAGTAATTTACTTTAAATTAAATTACTTTTTTACACAATTGCTAAAATTGTTGTCACAGGAATCACTAAAATAATTGCTATAATAATAATATATCTTTTTTTTACTAATAATTATTTTGCTTTTTTAATAGATAGTTGACTGATCATGATAATAAGTGAAAATGGCAAGAATAATATATAAGTTAAATATCAGTACTTTTAGTTTTTATACACCCACAAGCCATATAATATGTCAAGTCAAGTATGTGATCAAAAATTAGTTACCAATTCTTATGTTAAATTTTATTATAACTAATGGTAATTTATAAATGTTTTAAATGCTGTTCTGATATATAATTGTTATTGTTATTTATTATTTTCATCTTTGATGCATCAACCGTTGGTGGTGATTACAGCAATATTATTTTGATTACTGGTTCCTACATAATTTTGTATATACAAATTTATAACAATATATGATGTTATAAATACAATGAATATATACCACATACTACGCGAAAATGTTACGTCATGTACTTAAATTTATCTTGAAAAAAACGTCTAACATACGTCTAAAACGCGTTTTTATAAAGACGTCTTCATTTAAACGTCTTTTAGCCTTATGATCTAGACGTCTACAAGTGCGCCTTTTAGACCTCCTTAAAGACATCTTTAAAACGTCTTTTAAACGTCTTTGTGCTTACTGGGTCGGCTTTTAATATAATAGTTATGGAAACTATTTGATCGCAGATTATAACTTTGAGAAAACGATGACAAAAGTATGTCTAAAAAAGAATTTGGTAGCATATTATTTTTATATTTGAACATAAAAATGAGAATCTGATATAAATTAAGCTTTTCCAAGTTTAAGACTTTCATATTTGTCATCGCATTGGAAGGATTGTCCATTCTACCTAGATAATGAATTGCTTTACAAGCATGGTTTTGCAAGCCTTATAGTTTAATTAATTTTGTGTGTATTAGCCCACACTATATTAGTATATGTGAGATGACTGTGAATTAGACTAAAGTAAAGTTTTTTTCTTGAACAGAAATCAAGAAACGGGCAACATTTATATAAAATACCTATTGCAAATTATATTTTTGATTCTATGTCTCCAATATGATTTCTCCATGATAGATTTTAATCAATTTGAACACCAAGAAACTTTTTCCCGTTTCCCGCATATTTTTCCCGTTTCATCGTTATTTTGTTAATGAGCAATTCTGGAATTTTTAACGGTAGAGACATTGATTGACCTGTTTTATGAAATAAGATGTTTAAGATGTTTATGAAATAAGATTATTTAAAAAAGATCAGAATATGAAACAACCAAGGAAGTTTAATAAACCTCCTTGAAGGCTAATTAAACCTCCTTGGAAGTTAATTAAACCTCCTTGGAGATTTATTAAACGTCCTTGAAAAAAACACGCGGCGGACAGTACAACAATATCAACTAAAGCAACTTAAGTTTCGAACCTGACATATATACGTACAAATAAGTTTTCGAACCTGACAATATATACGTACAAATAAGTTCAAAAGAAGAATTGGTTTTTATATTCTGAAAACCAAATAAATCTAAAAGATTTATTTGCTTCATACAAACTGACGCACAGTAAAGCGACTAATACAATCTAGCTGGACAAAAACATTTTTTTTATATGATTTGATTGTTTTGGTCATGAATGAAATAATACTTTATTATTTTATAAAACATTAAGGGTTTAATAACTTAGGGAGTATTTATAATTACAAAAATGAAGTACAAAATAAAGTAAATTTTTTAAAAGATTTACTATTATTTGAGGCGGGACAATTAAACTCAAAACCTCTACTGACAATTTATCTCTTTTCTTTGCAGAGAGTTCTCTAAAACAATATATATTATATATTTTTCTTAAAATTGAAAAAAAACCACAGATGATAATAATAACCAAGATTATGATTAAAAACAAAAAAAATACTCCACATTTTATACCTGATTTGGAAAATTTTGAAAATGACCCATTGCACTTAATTAAAAAAATAAAGTTTCGACCTATAAATAATAAATTTCAATATATATATTATATATTATATAATATTATATATTATATAATATATATATATATATATATATATATATATATATATATATATATATATATATATATATATATATATATATATATATATATATATATATATATTATATATTATATAATATTCAATATATATATTTCATATATATATATTTATATATATATAAATATATATATATATATTTCATATATATATTTCATATATATATATATATATATATATATATATATATATATATATATATATATATATATATATATATATATATATATGTATATATATATATACACACACATATATATATATATATATATATATATATATATATATATATATGTATATATATATATATATATATATATATATATATATATATATATATATATATATATATATATATATATATATATACTATATATATATATATATATATATATATATATATGAAAACCAAATAAATCTAAAAGATTTATTTGCTTCATACAAACTGACGCACAGTAAAGCGACTAATACAATCTAGCTGGACAAAAACATTTTTTTTATATGATTTGATTGTTTTGGTCATGAATGAAGTAATACTTTATTATTTTATAAAACATTAAGGGTTTAATAACTTAGGGAGTATTTATAATTACAAAAATGAAGTACAAAATAAAGAAAATTTTTTAAAAGACTTACTATTATTTGAGGCGGGACAATTAAACTCAAAACCTCTACTGACAATTTATCTCTTTTCTTTGCAGAGAGTTCTCTAAAACAATATATATATTTTTTTCTTAAAATTGAAAAAAAACCACAGATGATAATAATAACCAAGATTATGATTAAAAACAAAAAAAATACTCCACATTTTATACCTGATTTGGAAAATTTTGAAAATGACCCATTGCACTTAATTAAAAAAATAAAGTTTCGACCTATAAATAATAAATTTCAATATATATATTATATATTATATAATATTATATATTATATAATATATATATATTATATAATA